ATCACTATGAGTGTGATCTACATAGTGAGACCCTATGCACCCTGTCCTAAATAAAATAAAATTAAAAGAGCCAAACTGCAAAGTAAAGAGGGGCTACTGTAAATCAGACCACTAATTTGTACTGGATGCAGGTAAGGTGTAAGAGCTCAAGTGTACAAGTGAAACACATATCTCTCCTTCAGGTCGCCCCCCACCCCAAGACTGTATAGTCACCAAACTTGACCTCCCAGCTCCTCACAGTATACAGGTTCTGTGACCCTGACAGGTTCAGGGGATCCCAGGACACTTCTGTTTAGTCCTCATCCTCTCTAAACTGGTCTCCCCTGGATGTCTCTCACTGTCTCCAGTAGGGTAACATTTCAGTCCTGAACTTGCTGCTGATGTTAGTTGTGTCTTCAGTCAGATCAGCCTCCAGTTGTTACTGTCACCCTGTGCTGTGGGGCACGGCGGAGCAAAGCTGGCTAGGAGTCAGCAGTCTGGCCGTCCTTCTCTTGGGGAGGCATGAGACCTCCCTGCTACTGCCTCCCACATCGATCACGTAGTGCTGGGGCCAGCACTGCTGTGGGCAGGGTGTGTGATTGTTCTGCGCTCCTGCCTCAAGTGGGAGTTGCCAGGGTAGAACTTTGGGTGTGAGAGTATATGGGAACTCTCTGTACTATTGTCTTATCATTTTTTTGTTTGTAAATCTAAACCAATTATGAAACAAAAATGTATTTATTTTTAAAAAATTAATATTAATTTGGTATAGGGTCTCACTATGCAGCTCAGACTCATAGTGACCCTTCTGTCTCAGCCTCCCCAGCACTGGGATTACTGTGCACACATGCCCAGTTTCGGTGGCTGGCTTGGTGCAGGTTCAGTCTGGCATGCGGTACTGGGGATTGAACCCAGGTCCTTGTGCTTGCGAGGCAGGCACTTAGACCACTGAATTATCTTTTCAGCCCACAAAATAAAAATATATTAAAAACCAAAATAGAGCCAGTGTGGTAGCATATGCTTGTAAGCCCAACATTCAAGGCTAGTCTGAACTACGTAGGGAGAACTGTCTCAAAAAACAAAAAAAGCAACGAAGGGAGCTGGGGAGATGGCTTAGTATTGCGTGCCTCGGAGGTAAACCCCAGCCCTGCCAAGAACAAGAGAGTGAGAGAGAGTGAGAATGCAGGTGGGGCTAGAGAAGACACCTTCTGCCTCTCCTAGGCAGGAGGGCGTAGTAGCATGAACTGAGGCAGGCACGTTTGACGTCAGAGATGCCAATTTGTGGCTCTAACCAGCCTTGCAAACATCTAGAAAATTTTTATTACATGAAAAGATAACCTTCACTGTTTAAGCTCTTTTGAGCCAGTGACTTACTTATTTATACGCTTCGGTCAAATGTATCCTAAATGATACTCATATTGTCATAGTCATTGTTCTGGTTTAGACTTCCATTACCCAGCGGTCATAAGTCATTTTCCATGTTGCTGGAACAAAATACCTGACACCCACACCTGAAAGGAGGAGGAGTCTATTTTGGTTCACGTCTTAGAAGTTTCAATCTTTGTATGGTCAGCAGCATGGTGACCGACACAGAAGAAAGCTGCTCATCTCATGGCAGACAGGAGGCAGAGAGTGAGGGAGAAAGCAGGAAGGAAGATTCAGTCCTCCAGGGCACGCCCCAGGGACCTGCTTCCCTCTGGCCAGTACCCCTTCCCAACACCAGTTCAGCTGTAACACCTCGTTACTGCAGCACCTGAGGTCCTGGAGGACAGCCATACTCACACCACAAGACCAACCAACCTAGCTCTTTAGACTATTTTCTAATCTCCTGGTAGCTCTTATCTCTACGTCATCTTTCCCCAAACCTAGCAGCCAAGCAACTCTTGCCGTTTGTAAAAGGACATATTCATTCACACTTCCAAGTGTGTGCACTTGGTTCCCTAAACCTGGAAGGCCCATGTCCCTTCATCCTCTTCCAGGAAATATCAACCCCTACTGGAGCTTCAGCTCATGATTTGTGCAGGCAGGGCTCTACGAGTCCCTGATGATCCTGCCTGCTGACTGCCTGACCCACATAGCCCTCACTAGTGTGAATGTTAATGGATTTTACTACCACAATTAGGTTGACACAGCTGACTTTAAGAATACAACATTATCTACATATATTTGATCTACTCATACCAATTTTTTAAAAGCTGAGTTTTATCTGTCTGGTAGTATAAAAGGAAGTGGCAGGAACATTTCTGTCATGGAAGACATCTTTGTTGCTGGTTTTGAGGATGGGAGTCAAGTGGCCAGAAATGTGGGTAACTTCTAGAAGCCAAAAGTAGGCCCAGGAAATGGGAACCTCAATGTTGCAACCAGAAGGAAGTGAATTCTGCCAACAAGGTGAGCTTGGAATATCTTTTCCAAGGCTTCTAGGCTAGAACTCAGCCCAGGTGACACCTTGGTTTCAGCCTTTGACAAGAGTAGCCATGCTCCTGTGGAAACTTCTGACCTGCAGAATGTGAGCTAATCAACAGGTGTAGTTTGGTGTCACTAAGCTTATGGTAGTTTGTTATGCAGCAAAACAATGCCTATGTTCCTATCATGCCTCCTCTCAAGTTGGCTTCACTTCCTTCAGCACACCCATCGCAACTTCTCCTTTGCTGTTGCACCTGATACACGCTGCTGTTACAATGCAAGTCACTCTGTATGCGTATATCTATATATCTATATCTATATACAGTATTTTAGGGAAGAGTCTACAGGGTGTTCAGGGTCTCAATGCTAGATCAAACTCATAATGATTCTCCTGTTTACAGCCTCCCAAGAGCTGGGATTACAGGTGTGCGCCACACGCCCAGTCTCAATTGCAGTCTCAGTGTGCCCCCGGGGGCAGGGCCGGCACAGCAGGCCTGGGGATGGAACCCCTAAACCCCTGTCCCCTGCTTGCAGGCACTTTAATCCTCTAAACTATTTGGCCAGCCCTGTAGTTGATTTTTTTGTATCTTAATAGATTCTGAGTTCCTGGTAGGTGGGGTTATGCTGCTCCACCATGGCAGTCCAAGACACAGAAAGGCACACCCTCTTTCCCCTAGAACTCTGAAGGTCTCAAGGAAAAAAATGCCAAGCATGTTAATTTGGAACCACACACACTAAAATTACCAAGGATGTTAGAGATTTCATATATAAGCATAAAAAGGTCAATGAAATAAAAGGGGAAAAATAATGGCTACTATAATTAGGTGTATCTAAGGAACCCAGAAGAGCAGTTAAGTCCCCACGTGTAGGCGACAGAAGGAAGTGGAGTGAGCAGAGGTATGAGGAAAATCTATCTCTAGATTACTTAGTAAACAAATACATAATTATTAGGTGCTTGCTATGTGGTTAGGCGAGGAACAGTGGAGAGTAAGGGAAAAGTACAAGATTTAAATGCTAACCTGAGCTGAGACAGGAGGGGTAATCAGGGCTCATGAAAGCCCCCCAGTACCCCGCCCGCACAAAAGCATTCATGCTCTCTGGCTAGAGGCGCACGTAGCTCAGGAGTAGAGTGCCTAGAAAGCGCACATCAGTGGGCCCGGGTTCTATCATTGTACCACAAAATAAAAAAGAAAAATCTTAAAGATCTTTTCAAGATTTTGTGTGTTTAAGGGTAAAGTCCTTTAATTAAACAAGATTTAAGGCATACCAAGGTTTTCCCATTTAGGCTTATTTTTGAGGTGCGCATCCTTTGTACTGTGCCACGGATACCTCCGCTAATGTCACTGTACTAAAAATTCCTGGAAGGGGATTTAGATATTTTGATACGTCGTAGCACGCGGCTTCCAATCACTGCCCAACAAGGGCAGGTCCCTCGACCCACTAGGGCCCCTCAGTTAAGAGCTTAGAGCTTCCAACTTCTAAGCCCAGCCGGTTCCACTCCCACCTGTCTCCTCTGGAATGCTAGGTGTGCACGTGGGCTGAACAAGCAGGAAGCGGGTACAATACAGACTACAAAGAGAAACCGCGGAGCAAGCACCGAGGACTGGGACAGGAAGTTGCAAAGGTAGCGGAGGAAAGGAGAAGAGGAGCAGGCCCTAAAGGATGCTATTTGGATCAGTGTGGTAAAAACCTATGGGTAGTTCACACCACGGAGAGCCTCCAGCGATAGTACAATTAATCTGCATTTTTTCCAAGAGCAGCGGGGAATAAAGGAAGGATTAGGTGAGAGAAATCTGAATTTCAGGGCACACCAGTGATAGTCTTTTGGCACTGGGAGCTTAACCAGTACCAACCAGTAGAGAACTCATCGCTGAGATGACGTTAGGCAGCACAGTATTCGCGGGGCCAACCTATGATGACTATAAAAACTAAACAGAAAACAAAACGTGGGCCACCGCCGGGCGTGGTGGCACACGGCTGTAATTCCAGTATTTGGGGGCTGAGGCAGGACCGCTGCGAGTCCAAGGCCAGCCTGGGTTACAATGCCAGACCTATTTCAAAAAAACCCAAACCCAAAGAACTCCCCGCTAAAAAAAAAACCAATCAACCGAGCAAAACCCTTGCGCAATCTCGGGGCAGGTGTTTAGGGTTAGATGGCAAACTTATTGGCAACGTTTTGTTTTGTGATGTTGGAAAGGCGAGCTACTGACTGACCCAAGGACCAAGTCCTTGCCTACAGTCTTTTCTGAAGTCTTTCAAAAAACAACTCGGAAGCTTGGTTCACCAATAAAGAGGGAGATAGCTCTTCACCTTGAAATGGTTCGCCTCGGTTTGGGAGTCAGCCGCTGAATGTCTAGTACTGCTGCCCTCGAGCACAGCCTCCAACGCAGATACGAGCCACTAATCCAGCTCGATTCACACTGTGGAAACGGAGGTGCGACAGAACCCCAGGCTGTTTTACGACATGCGTACCGCAAAGCGTACGCCGCCGGAAGCTAGGGGCGGGGCCGACTCGGGGCCGGACTTAACAACCCTTCCGGTGGGCGGGGCCCGGCCTGGCGCGGCCACAGCTGACCACTGCGCAGGCGCAGACACGCTCTGCCCCGCTGGGCGCGCGGCCGCGGCGGCTTCTGTCCCGGGCGGGACGAGGCCGCGCGTGCCCGAGCGAGCGGCCGTGACGTGCGGCGTGCTACGCCAGACGTCACGATCCGTGTGTAGTGGCGGCGGGGCTATCCTTGGCCGCGGAGCTTGGCGAAGGCGGTGTGGCCGCGGCGTGAGGCGTCTGGGGGTCGCGCGGCCAGCAGCGGAGAAGGCGAGGACAAGTACCCGGACGTCCCGCGTCCCGGCCGCGGAGTTGGCGCTCCCACCCCTTCTGCTTTCGGCGGCGCCGGCCCTCGGCTTCCTCCTTTCCTGCCCAGCTCCCCGCGGGCCTCCGGGCTGCTGTGGCGAGAGGCGCCGGGGGCAGCACGGGCTCCATGTGAAGGAGGGCCGGGGCCTGGCCCCGCGGCCCGCGCCCGGCTGTCGCACGCCCCTCCGGCCCCCGGGTAGGCTCCGGGACCCCGGGCGGCGGTGACAGGCCGCGCGGGGGCGGAGGGGCGGGCCTGGCTACGGGCGCCCCTCCCCGGCCTGCGGCTCGCGACGTCCCCACGGAGTGGTCGGTGAGTGCCGCGCGCGCGCGCGTGTGTGTGCGTGACTCCGTGTGTGGGGCCGTGGCCCGGCGCCGAGCGGGAGGGGGCTGCGGCTGGCGGCGGCCCGCGCGCCGCTCCTGGGGCGGGGACTTCTCGGGGTGATTGCCCTGCTGGGGGAGCGGCCTTGGGCTCCTGCATCCCGTTCCTGAGCAGGTCCGATGGTAGGAGGCCGCTGGGCCGTGTAGCTGTCAGACACGTACTCTGCGGGACTTTAGTCGAAGGTTGCATCTGGCTGATCCCGGGATGGTGCAGATACTTCCCGTAAGCGAAGAAGTGCTTGTCTTTGTAGTCACAGTGTGCTCATCTGTTACTTAGGGTTGTTGCTCTTTAATGGAACATTTAGTTAGCATTTATTGTGCTCTTACTGTGCGCCAGAGAGCTGCCATTTATTTTATTTCATTGTCCAAGTCCAGTGAGTGAAGGGGATACAATGTTTCCCCATATTACAGATGGAAAATTGAGGTTTAGGAGACGAAGGCATTTGCCCAAGGTCGTGCAGCTGGCAATCAAGGAAACCTTGACTCAGATGTGCAGATGTCTTATGTTAGAATTCTATATTTTTCGAGCATGTAAAAGTAAAAATGTAAGGGAAATGAGACTGACAGTGTAGTTTCTTCCTGGGCAGAAATTCTAAATACCAAATAAGATATATGTGCTTTGTCCCTGATGCCGACTGGTGTGTTTTGTTGAAGCCTTGCCAAATTGTTTCCTTGATTTTTAAAGTAATTGTGTGTGAAAGGTGGTTCTAGGCACCTTTATCTACTTTCGTTAGAAGTGGACCGAAAGTTTCTTTTCTTGCAGGGAAAAGTACCTGGAAAAACCGCGTATTTCTTGAGAAGTCACAATTTTACTTTTGCAGTTTGTTCTTGATGCCTACAGGGAACTCACAGTTAGGTTGAGAGTTCTTTATTGCAAAATTTGTTTCTGGATTATGTGGCAATGGCAACACACAGTAATTTTGTGTTGTCTTGTGCAATATTTCCGACTTTAATGTCAAATTTAATGTGTAGAATACTGCAGAAAACCATTTTGATGGAGTAACAGTTTTCATGGAGTGATACAAGCTAACTGAAAATTTTCATTTTAGGGGCTGGGAGGATAGCTCAGAGGTCTAAGCACCTGCCTGGCAAACACAAGGACCGGAGTTCGATCCTCTGTACTGCATGCATTGCCAGCTACCAAAACCAGGCGTGGTGATGCACGCCTGTAATCCCAGTGCTGAGGAGGCTGAGACAGGAGGATTACTCCGAACAGGAGCTGTATAGTGAGACCCAGAACCAAACAAATAAAAAGATTTTAAAAAGGTTTTTTCATTTTAACATTGGTTTGCCCCATTTTTAAAAAAGCATTCGCAGAGTTTGTTCCAGGAAGCAAAAGTGAAAAGTGTGTGCATGGGGAAACCAGCTCTGCAGAGCAAGCTTGGTCCAAGTGAAGAGAAAAGGAAGGAGAGGGCAAAGACAAAACAGTACGCAGTGCGTCTGGGAAACAGCGTGGGCTATCACCACAGTGGCCTGTTTCTTCATGATTAGTGAAAAACAGAGCTTTAATATTAAGACAGTGGTGATAAATTCCCTGGAGTAGAACTTCATGTAGTTGCACATGTTTAAAAAACCTGCTGATCCTCAAATGATAATGTGTGTTTTCACAGTACTGTATATTATGATGTTGAAGAAAATTTACTGAATGTCTTTTAATGTCTTTAGGGAAGAGACCACATTATGGAGTTAGGTGGGTGGTTTACAAATTGATTTGTTGATTGATTAAAGTATAACTATGTTGAGTCTTACTGAATTTGGTTGAATGTGGTTGAACAACATAGAATTGTTATCTAATGGTGCTCTCCTGTGTCTCTTTGGCGGGAACTACTTGTTAAAGGATTATCTTAAGTAATTGTTTTTCATTTGTAGGCTGAATCTTTTTGAGCAGTGTTTTTAGGTGGAGCTTTCCTCCATATGTGATTGCTTTCAAAGAGGTAAATGTATATTTAATAGATACTGTATTAAAAAGTCACAGCTGGGTGTTGTGGCACATGCCTGTAATGACAGCTGTTTGAGAGGCTGAGACAGGAACATCCCAAGTTGAAACTCAGCCTGGGCAACTTATTATGTGCTGTTATGTAATAAAAAATATAAAAGGCTTGGTTGTAGTATAGTGTGAAGGCCTGGAGTTCGAGGCCCTGGGGTAGAGGAGAGGGGAGAAAAGAAAGATGATAAATCATATTTGAGTTAAGCACTTTTTTTTTTTTTTTTTTGGCAGAACCTGAGATTGAACTCAGGTCCTTGCGCTTGCCAGGGAAGCGTTTATTCCACTGAGCCATCTCCTGAGCCCAATAAGTCATATCTGGCACTGCATTTTCTACATAGAGTTTTTTGTTTTGAGATTGATTTTTTTTTTTCTGAAATTGAAGTGTTTGAGGTACTCCTAACATTTTATTATGAAACAATTTGAAGTACATATACAGAAGGTGGGAATAGTGAACGCCCTCTAAATTATTTTTAAATTTTTATTAGAACATGTGTGCAGTACATAATGATTGCATTCCTCAGGTGGAGTTGTACATACACGTAACACATCTTAATCCTCCCCCCATCCATCTCTTGGTCCCTTTGCAAAAGCTCTGTCTCTTCATTTGCTATTATATTTTGCTATTTATTTTTTTCATATAATAGAAATCATGTGATAGTTAAGCTAGTGTGTCTGATTTCTCCTAATATTATGGTCTCAGGTGCATCCTTTTTTGGTAGGTGTATCCATTTTTGCACAGATGACTTAGATTTAGATTTATCCTCCTTTATGGCAGAGTAGTACTCCACTGTGTGTAAATGCCACATTTTCTTTATCCTTTCATCTGTTGATGGACCTGGGTGCTTCCAAAATTTAGCTATTCTGAATGCTGCTATAAATATGGATGTGCGTGCACACTATCATGTGATATCTTTAATTCTTTTGAGAAGATACTTAGAAGGGAAAAATCTGGGTCAAATGTAGTATCTACTTTTAGTTTTTTGCAGAATCTCCATCATGATTTCTGTAGTACTTGTACTAGTTTACATGTAGAAGGGTTCCTTTTTGATTTTCTTGATGATAGCCATTTTTTTCTGGAGTAAGATGGGCTCTCAGCGTTATTTTGTATTTTTCCAATGACTGGTGATGTTGAACATTTTTCATGTATTTATTGACTATGGCACTTCTTTTGAGAATTGTCTGTTCACTTCAGTTGTCAATATTTTGCTTGGGGCTTTTATTTTGGGAGAGGGGTCTAATGTTTTTGAGTTCTTAATATATCCTAGTTATTTAGTCCTCTCTGAGGAATGGCTTGCAACATTTTTTGCATTCCGTAGGTTGTCTCTTCACTGTGATTTCCTTGCTATATTCCATTTGTTGATTCTTGATTTTATTTCAGGTGCAGTTGGGATTCTGTTTAGAAAGTCTTTGCCTAGGTCTATATCTTTAAGAGTTTTATGTATTTTTCATCTAGCATATTAAGTGTTTCTGTTTTAATATTTAGATCTTTGATGAGTTTGTGATTTTAGTTTAGGGTATGGTGAGAGTTATAGTCCTAAGATCAGTCTTTGGCATGTAGATAGCCAGTTTTCCCAGTAACATTTGTTAAAGATGCTATCTTTGCTCTAGTGTATGGTTTTGGGCCCTTTGTCATAGATCAGATAGCTATACCTAGGTTGTTTCTGTATCCTCTATTCTGTTCTGTTGATGCACAATTCTACTGTTACTGTAGCTTTATAATGTAACTTGAAATCTGAGAATGTAATACTTTCTGCTTTCTTTTTGTCTTTTTGCTTTTGCTATTCTGGGTCTCCTCTGGTTCCATATAAACTTTAGGCTTTGTTTCTCTAATTTTGTGAGGAATGCTGTTGGTATTTTGATTGGGATTGCATTAAAGCTGTATATCAGTTTTGGAGGTACTTTTTTTTTTTTTTTTTTCCAGAACTGGGGATTGAACTCAGGCCCTTGCGCTTTCCAGGGAAGCGCTTATTCCATTGAGCCATCTCCCTGGCCCTAGTTTTGGAGGTACTGTGGCCATTTTAACTATATTGGTTTTCCCTCTTTAGGAACAGGGGATGTCTTTTCATTTTCTTGTATTTTCTTTGATCTCCTTTCTCAACAACTGTAGTTTGTGTTATGGAGGTCTTTCACCTCCTTGCTGAGGTTAGTTTGTAAGCATTTTAATTTTTTGATGTTATTGTGAATATGTTATTTCCTAATTTCTTTCTAGGTGAGTTCATTATTGTTCTACAGGAATGCTATAGATTTTTGTGTTGATTCTGCATTCTACTGAATTTGGTTATTCGAGGAGCTTTTTGGTGGAATTTTTTGAGTTTTCTATGTTGATCATGTTTACTATAAATAATGGTAATAATGTTTTTTTTCTTTCCTGTACATATTTCTTTCTCTTGCCTGATGACTCTTAATAATGGTTCAGGTACTATATTGAACAGGAGTGAAACACTTTTCTAAATTCCACATGTTTGATATCTTGCTGCTCTATTTATAAATATACATATAGAATTTAGGCTGAACTATTTGAAATAAGCTATTCATGTTATGACACTGTACTCCTAAAATGTCAACGGGGCTGGTGAGATGGCTCAGTGGTCTAAAGCTCCTACTTAGAACAAGCTAAGCCAAGCAAAGCACAGGGACCGCGGTTCAATCCCCCAGCACCACATGCCAGCCAGCCCCGCCCCCTGGTGGGCTGAGCTGGCCACACTAAATTAAAAAAAAAAAAAAAAAATGTCAGCGTGTGTCTTCCAAAGATAGGGACATTTTCTTACATAGCTAAATAATCAGTATTATTTTAGATGTAATTCCTTACTATAAGATATTATCTGACCTGACTGACCTGACTTCAGTTTCATTGTTTAGGTGTGTATTGCTTTGTACATCATCCCTTAGAAGGATCCCTGCAAAGTATTGATTGCATTTGGTCATAAGGTTTCTTTTTGACCTCTTCTA